AAGTAATACTTTTGAAATCGAAATTTCGAAAGGTAGGATTCTTCTCTGGTTTCTGACTAGATGAAACATTCAAAGTATGTTTGCTTATCTGCCTTATATATTGAGGTGTACGGAATTTAAAAGACCATATTTTTCTTTCCTCATCACAATTGTACGACTTTTAAAAGAAATGGTAAACTGCGTTTGAAAACTAGCAGGGACTATATTTTTGGCGGAATGGTGGCGTATGAAAATATCTTCTTTTCTGCCTCTCAAAATTATAATAGAACAATGAATTTAGTTATAATTTTTGCACAATCGAAGATTTGGAGAAATTTTCAAACGTAAGTTAAATTAATAATGAGGGACTAAACTTTCAAAATATATCAAATAAATATGATTTTCTAAACAAATTATAACTTTATTAGCTTTTAAACGCTTCCTATCAAAGTGCAGATTTGAGCCAAAAATCCATAAAAAGTATAATTTTGCTCTTTTAGTAAACGATCAAAACTTATTGTTTTTGTATCATTTTGTACATTTATAAGACTACTTTATTATAGGTGAAAATAAGAAAAAGTTAAATATAGGAAGCATATGAAAATAACTAATATATCCTAAAAAAATTAAGAAAAAAAAAAGAAAATTCGGATTACCCAATATCCAGTTAAGTTAAATTATTTATGTAAATTTGGTATTATCATGCTATAGACCAGATATAGTAATATGTTTTTATGCAAAAAGAACAGTCTTTAAACTTTTGAAATAGAAGTAGGTATCACATGATTGGCTACAGTATTTTTTATTCTTAACGTCAAGGAAAAAGATAATGACCTTGACCTGACCTTGCCTCTAATATAAAACGGTCAAAGAGCTTGAGCCAGAAAGTACACAAATTCGCCTGTTTTCAAAATAGGACAATTTTGCCTCTAGATATATCTAAAGACTGTATATTTTTTCAAACCAACTTTCTTTTTTCAATATCTCTTTCATATTTTCCGTAAGAGGTCTTCAAAATAGCATATATGGCTGAATTTCGTACATTTTACGGAACGTCATGATGTCGATGTGAATTTTAACACTTCTGAGTTCTCAAAAATAAAGTGGTAAGTATTTACATGTATTAATTGATGAGAATTTCACAAAAATGTATTTTACAATATATTACAGATAGTACTTTGATATTTTGTTAATAAAAGATAACTTAATTTGAAATTATAATGTCAGGTGCAAACAAGCATAGGTACATGTACAAGTGAAAATGACAGCGTGTCCGTTCAGCACCCGTGTGTTTATCGCGGTACACGTAAATAATTACATGTAGATACATTGTAACGTTTCATTATTGACATTGATAATGTTTTAAAATAATAAATTCATTAATAAATTACATAAACTTTATGCATTTGATATTTTGATCAACCTGTATATATAAAGCCAAGTCCAGGAACGTAGCAACCCGGGGGATGTTAAATGTTAAAATAAAAATAGTACTGGTCACACAATTGATTGCACCCATGGGAAAAAGGCTCTTTTCAGCTATTTTTATGCATTTTGAGTTTTTCACGGATTTTGATAGAATAAGGTTAAAAGTTGTCAAATATGAATTTTTTTGGTCCTACGTCTACTCTAAGTTGGTTTTTTCTTCATTTTGATCAAAGATACTTTAACAAGTTCATAATGACGTCATGTTTTTCAACAACGTCAAACGTTTTCAGAGTGAACGTAAAATAATTTTCTTTTGTAATTTTACTACGATAATTAATAGTTACATAATATTTAATATTTGCCCATGCGCATTATAAATATTTGCCCATGCGCATTATTTTTTTTTTATCTCATTGTCTCTTTTAATTATTAATAATTATTTAATACAATGTAGTTACCTGTATATATATATATTATGGATTCAGCAGTGGTGTTTAGTATTATGAGCAAGTGTTTGCTTAACATTTCACTTTTTTATGACATCAGGGGGAAACCTGAACAGCTAGCTTGCGACATCCATTCAGTCTTTTTGGAAAAAATTATTTTCTCAAACAAAATATTTACTAGTTATCCATACAAGAGTCATTTGATAAGACTGTAGAATTCATTAGAAAATTATTATAATTTAAACATTGCTCTCAATAGGTCAAGATGTTTTTTGTTTTTTTTTTGCTTGAATTCAGCATAAAACGATATATCTTTGGATACCATATGTGTGAAAATTAATTAAAAAAAACTATATCTGGAACAACAATACGCTACCTCAATGCTACTGCAAAGTGAAAATTTATTTGATCGTTCTTTTTTCTTCTTAATTTCATATACATGTAGATTGTCTGTCTGCATGGGGTGAATAATGACAGCTTTTTGGAAAATATAAAGGATACACGAAATATCTTTCAGTCTAGCAGTTAAAATATTTTAATATTTACAAATCAAAAAGGTGGAAATTTCATAAACAAATGAATGAGTTATAATCCGCACACAATTAAATAATAGATCTATAGACCAAGAATTAATTAATGTGTGCGTTGGTGAGGAAGGGGGGGGGGGTGTAAAAATCTAAATGACAGAAACTTACAATTCCTCTGAACACGACTTAAAATAAATACATATTTTTTTTACCTCCCAAGTTTTAGGTGCACAGGCGTAGAGAGAACACTGCGTATAATGTTTATTCCTCATATGTAAGACAGTACCGGTGTTCCATACACATTCTCCAACAAAGAACACCTCTAAAGAGGGTACCACGTGATATTTTACGCACGGACTTGTGAAGATATTCTTTGTCTCAAAGTAATCATCCTCATGTTCTGGCAAAATGTTATCACTATCATCGGCTTTGCAAAGTTTTTAGAAGAAATAATAAATGGATTTATTTTCAATAATCTATACAGCGTGTTTATTGACAATCACTAGACTTGGTTGAAGTTTCATTTTTCCCTGTCATCTTTCTGCTTTTCAACATTTTCAACTATTTTCGACACTTGTGTATTTTTTAGCAATACCTATACTTCGTTGAACGAATACTTCCGAGAGCAGCATATTAGCTAACTTCTAATGCAAGAACGCCGCTAAATCAGAGGCAGATCCAGTGCAGGTGCCTCTGGTGTGCGCACCCCCCCACGCTTTCGATTTTTTAAAACAATATTTACTAAACTAAAAACACATTATTAAAATCAGGTTTCCTTATTTTGTGTATGTGAGGGTGTGTGTGTGTTTGTGAATTTAACCCTAGGGCAGGGTGCCCCTATTTTTTTTTCTATCTTGAATTATTCCTTACAGCCAATCTATCGAAATATCAAAATTTTATTTAGGGACGGCCTGCCCTGAAAGACTTCTAGGACAAAATTATTTTCTAAATGTCACTTTTTCGGTCTTTTTTTTGTGTGAAAACACCCTATGATGAGCGATGTCGGAAACTACTTTTTACCACTCTTTTTATAACACATGTCTTAATAATTCATACATCAAACACAGAACAGAAACATTTCATCCTTTTTGAGATTATTCTGATAATAAATTGATATTATTTATATATAAAGGCCGGCTAAATATTACAGTATTCTTATGTTACATATGTTGCCTTTTTAACAGGATGCTTATAAATAGACACCCCCAACCCTAAAGCATACACATGGAAAACGAGGCCACATGCAGACTTGGGCTGACATATTTGAAAATCACGATTTTATGAATATATTGGGTCATGTACTATGAATAATTTTTAAAAAGCATAATCTACACATTATCGAAATATTAGTGGACCTCTGTCTCACTCTCGCGCGCGCTCTCTGGAACATGCTGACTACCTTTTAATATTCAGACTAAATGAAAAATATCAATGTCTGAGCAAAATATAACCATAAAAAGATTGAGTAAACATATACATCTGACCTGTAGACATTTACAAGTTAATCGCTCGCGATCTACCCGATGCGCGATAATGATTATGTAACACACAGAATATACATTGAAGTCTATGTACTAACTTTAAATAGTGATAATGTTATTTATTTAAATTTTTCAAAAATTGATATTTTTGAACATCTAGAATTATTGATCTCACCACGAGTACGAAAAATATTGAAGTTCCCTAAAAACTTTGACGTCATTTTCTGTACATTGTGACGTCACGAGACGACTTGTCAAATGTTAAGAAAAAAAAAACAAAGCAAATAGACCTTATGGTTATAACCTGGCCACTTTGGAGGGCTTCTGTTACATGTAAACACTAAACAGTGGTCCACAATAGATATGCAGATGTGGAAAGCATAGACTAACGCAAAAACATTTCTTCATTTTTTTTTATGTTTTTAATTGAACTGAGAACTAGGCTATATTAGAATCTGTTTAGCCTACCCTATTTACCACGCATAAATAATGCATTTATGCTAAAAAAGGATTTATGGTTGTGTTTACATAATTTACAGTAACCTTTCTTATGAAATATTTAATTCTTGCCGTGCGATGTTTTATTAACATGGAATTATATAAAGGTAAATTTGCTCTCTACATGCGCAGCTGAGCAAACGACATTCATAAATATTAAATTTACACATGGGGCGCATTCCTCTCGGAGAAAAAAACTTGTTGAAAAATACGCATAAGATACCAATGTTTGATTTTATACTTGAATTTTTTTCCGAGAGGAATGCGCCCCACTTGAAATTTTAAACTGAATCTGTAAAATCGGTGAAAAATTCCGGAAAAGTCAAAACCCTTATAGGTTTTAGCCGTTACGATAAAGAAGCCAACATCCGGTCTGACTAAAACTAAAAAAATTAAGAATCGAGGTAAAAAAAAGTCTATTCAATTTTTAATCAGTTCTTTAAAATAATCCCACGCCAAATTGGCGCTATTATTTTTGACAAATCTAATTTGAATTAAATACGATATAAACAGTTGAAGTATACTAGTATCTCAAGTAATTTCCACTTCAAAAAATAAATAAATCGTCATTAGAATAAAGTTTTAAAACCTCTATAAAACCTTTGAAATAATTTCATTTTTCATTCAATAACCATGATAACAGCCATGCTGGTCTTCTTTCTGAATTGTCTGTGTATCACGGTCTATATAGGACATTCGCTGGTCACTGATAGAGAATCACAGAACAATATCAGTCTGACAGGAGAATCGGGCAGCGGGAATAAAGATATCGTCCGACAGCTTCTGAACCAGAAGACCCTGATCAGAATGGCGCTGGTGCGGAACGTCCACGCCTTGATGAATGACATGGTGAAAATGAAACAAAGTATGGCTGCCAACGACGTGCGACTCCGGGACGCTGAAGAACAAATCGTGAATCTAAAACACGGGGTTAAGACACTGAAGTCTGAAAACCAACACTTTAAGGAGCAGGCTACAAAATTCCAGCAGACTGTCAATAACTTTATTAAAAAGTTTGGAGACCTGGATAGAAATTTTACTCAAGATTCCAATAGCCGTCTTGAATTTGAGAGGAAATGGAACTCAAATAGTGGAGCGTGTGATCGGGACATTTCCGGTCAACTGGACGACATAAAAGCAGAAGTTCGTAATTTGTCGCTGTCTTTGAGAGGTCTTGAGAAACGCACTCTCGAACTGGAGAAATCTATCCCGATCCTCCTCAACAACAAGGTAACAATTTTGTCAGGGAGGCTAAATAAATCACTCGACAATTTGAGTGGTAGTCTAAGCGCGTCCTCAAGAAAAAGTGAGCAGTTGTTACTGAATATTTCCACCGTAGCAGACCACCTGGACAGCATAAGAAGAATTATGAAAGGTATGTATTTCTTAAGATTTCAAATTTTTTCAGGACAAATTATAAATTATGTTAATATTTTGTCCCCAACCATAAAACTTTTATTTCCAGATAACCTTAACAAGACACTTCATGGACTGAAAGCGGAAGTAGAACAATCCCAGAAGGAACAGCAAAAATTGTCGTCTGCTGTAGCGTCCTTGGAAATTTTCAAACAAAACATGTCGTTAACTAGCTATGGTAAGTATGCTTCACACTTTGACCTGTAACATAGCTGCAAAACAAGAATCTTTGAACATGTTGATGATCTTTTTTTTCATTTTAATAGGTAAGTCGTCCCACGTGGGGTTTACAGTCGGTTTGACGAGTACCAGCTCCTCCTGGTCTTACAGTACCTTGGTACTGTAGATCACTTAATTTTCGCGAAACCTTAGTCATTGACTCTTTATTAGCGAGACAAAATTTTCACGAATTGTGGTCATTGTTCTATATAATCTTAAGGAATACTATTAAACGCGAGAATGAAATTTTCGCGAGCAAATTGTCTCGCGTAATAACGCGAAAATAAAGTTCTCGCGAATAAATAGTGATTTACAGTATTCCCCCATGTTGTCTTCAATAACGGATACAATCCCCACACTGGAATTTTTACGTCACCCACGGCCGGCACTTACGTTTTCTATGTCAATGTTAACGTTCAGGGTGGTAATTTCATTTACTTAGACATTGTCCTTAATGGGAGTTCAAAGGTCAGCACAATGTCACACAACAGTGCAAGATATATGACTGGAACAAACATGGCCGTTTTCCAATTGAGCAAGGGTGATAGTGTATGGGTGAAGCGTTACGATTGGAAAAGCTACTATTCCCATTCTGTACCTATAACAACCTTCTCTGGTTTTCTTTTATAATAACATTAGGTCTATAAATGAATTCAAGAGCGGATCCAGGATGTTTTAAAGGGGGGATCCATGTCAACTTTGTACAAATGTCTCACTCGAAATTTTTTGAGCAAATGGGAAAACAAAACGTTAATAATTTACCCAAACTTGGGGGGGGGGGTTTACATTTTTCTGATATATGATTCCCATTAGCGTTTTAAGAGGGGGTTTTTGTTTTCGGGGGGGGGTGTCAAAAATTATTTTTCGTTCTTTTTTACAAGAATTTTAAAACTCTGAAAATTCCAGAGGGGAGTTCAGACCCTATACCCCCTACGTTTCTCTAGTTCTGACCCTAGATAAATACATAGCTTAAAATACGTACTAAGTATGCCAAATATTTTTAATGTAGTGTTTAATTACTGCTGCCATATTTTACATGTTACAAACTCTGTGTTCTGTTAGAGAGATCGAGTTGATGAAAAAAGAGTCTTTCGTAGGCTGGAAAACATAAAAGTAAGCGCTTGAGATGAAATTATTGTGAATGATTGTAGAAATAGAGTTTGCTATTTGTGTTTTTCTGTAATTTTTATTCAATATTGTTTGTTGCTTTATGATTATATATGAATAAATGCTACGCTTTATAATCTTTTGTAGGTGTTTTTATTCAACAATTATGTTTACAATTGTCTTTGTGTATCCATATTGAAAGCGTGTTCAAATTTTAGGATCCTAGCTTAAATTCAACTGCTGTGCGCACTGCTAGTCTTATTCAGGCAGACACACTAGCTGCACACAACAGCCTGGTTGCCAGACGGGTCAAGAAGCTTAATTACAAGTGTGGTGGCTAACATCCGTTGCTGATTAGCCTCTGAGTGGCTTGTCACTCAGAAAAGATAACAACCTTTTTAATAACAATCTTTGTAGACTAGACCTTACTGTTACTTATTTCATGTCGACCTCTTCTGAAAGCTGACTTTTTTAGTGTAAGTCTCACTTACCACTGTTATGTTCGCACACGTCTTTACGATCTTTTATTTTACATAGCTTGCACTGGAATGGACATACTATATCGCGGATTCAGCCTTTATATACCTTTTAAACCGGATGTTTACACCCGCAATCTAATAACTGAATCTGCATGATAACAATATAAATTTCTGGAATATTTCACTACCCACGCCTCCGAAGATATGCGTCCCGCATGCGAACTCAATAGATCGACATTTTTAAAAAAAAAAATTCATTCATTTATCATGTTTATCTTTGTTTTTTTCTAACGACAAAACTACATTTATGTGGCTGACCAAACAGTCAACGAAACAAGAACAGCAATAAAAGTAACAATCAAAACTGATGAACACTATCTGTGTTAAGTATAAGATTCGTTGAAGTAACTCCTAACTTCCTAACATAATTTCTTACCGTATACTACAGAACAATTTACAAATCTGTCTCATTATCATGCAACCAACTAGGAGGTTTGCGATATCTACTAGGGCGATGGGATAGTGGTAGTTCGTCATTAACGCATAAATCAACATCATCACTTATAGGACCAGGGTCCTCAGAAATTTCACATATTGGCAACGACTCTTCGCTGTCCCCTTACAAAGTATGCGCATGCTTTTTCTGCATTCTGTCAACATGAATAACCTGATCTGATCCCCTTGGACCAAAATTAACCAGATATGTCAAGTCAGACATTTTTTTGACCACCTTAAATGGACCTCGCCAATAACTTGACAACTTGGGTGAAGTACCTGGCTTTCTTCATGGGAAGAAAACATATACCTCTTCACCCACTTCGAAGAAGGATATGGAGATAAAACAGTATTCAATTTCAAAGTCCATAAAACAATACAAAATAAGAGCAAAGCAAACACGGACCCCCGAAACATCAGAGGTGTGCTCATTGTCATGATCAGGAAATAACGGAAAAAATCCGTCGTCAATTCAGTGTATAAATAATGGACTAACAATAGGTATGAAAAACGTCAGTCAGCATTTGACTCAGTGATAAATTGTATTTGCTGAAAAGGTCATTGTATCAACCATAGAATTTACGAAATGGTGATTTTAAACGAGACTGTTGACATTCTTGTTTCATAAACTTGCTTGTCAATAATTTACCTCGTTTTGGAAATTGTTCATACGTAGAGCATGCTCTTGCGTATCGAATCAACTGAGATATAAATAATGCCATTTCAATTTTCGATCTTGGTAATGTTTTTGCCTGATCATTGTCTGATTATCCTTGTTCTCACAAATTTATGAGCATTTTATAGGCGTTCTTGTAAATACCATGTCCATTTATTGTTTGGCACCTCTTTAATGGATGGAGGTATCTCATACATCGACTTCTTCAACAATCTTTGTGGCGACAGTTTCTGCCTCCATGTTTGGCAATGCAAAACTTCCGTCTAATTTGTAAAATAGTCTGCCACTACAAGGATATACTTATTCCCATTGGATGTCATTGGCAGTTCACCTAAAAGATCAGTCGCTAATCTTTCCATTGGATACCCTGTAAAGACTAAATGCATTTGGAGCCTTGTTGTTTTGTCTAGGTGCTTTTCTCTTAGTGCACACTTTACAGCCGCGAACATAGGAATGAACATCCCTTTGGGGACCTGGCCAATAGTAAGATTGACGGATTCTTGCAAATGTCTTGTGAATACCAAGATGGCCCGCTGTCCTCGAGTCATGGTAATGTTGCAAAACATTCCAACGCTCCTGCTTCGGGACAATGGCTTGCAAAGTATCCTGCTTTGTAACAAAATCTGACCATCTTCTGTATAATATTCCATTTTCAATGACCAGCCGGTCCCACTGAGAGCAAAGGAATTTAACAACAACAGATTCGGATGAGATCTCATCTTTCTTCGGTTGCTTTCTCCTTTCGAGCCAATCTTTTACATTTATGATATCCTTTTCTTCATTCTGAAGACATTTCAAAGGCTTTTCTAAAATCAACTTGTCTTCGGCCTCAAGTTTATTAACGGTTTCGTAAGTCAATTCATTATGGCTGACTCCACACTGCTTGCATGGCAATCTACTCAGACCATCCGCATCACCATGTAGTCTACCTGGCCGATGTTGAAGTCATAGGTTGATAAAACATTCATCCACCTTGCAAGCTGCCCTTCGGGGTCTTTAAAGTTCATCAAATATTTAAGGGCGCTATGGTCTGTCCTTACTGTAAATTGTCTGCCATATAGGTAATGTTTTAAAACTTTATAAAGTGTACAACAGCCAGAAGCTCTTTTCGGGTAACACAATACTTCCTTTCAGATTTGGAAAGGCTTCTGTTGGCAAAGGCAATTGGTCGTTCAACACCTTCTTTTATCTGTGACAATACTGCATTAATTGCATGTTGACTGACATCGGTAACCAGGATGAATCTTTCATTAAAATCCGGATGAGCCAAGACAGTTGTTGATAACTGTTTTCAAAGATTGTCAAATGACACTTGACATTCATCAGACCATGTGAAATTAATACCCTTCTTTGTCATATAATTCAATGACTTGGCAATATTGGCAATGTTTTTGACAAATCACCTATAATAACTACAGAATCCTAACCAGAAGTCTCTGTCGAGACTAAAGCTCTACTGGTTTGAACTTATAGCAAAGGAAGAGAAAAGTACTTAAGCAGCTGGGATTTGAAACTACAACAGCAATCAATAGAATAATGATCGTTGATAAAGTCTCTTTATGTTCTTAGTGTATTCTACTTGTGTGCCAAGTTATATTGAAATCAGACCAAAACTGTAGAAGGAGTAGCATTTTGAAACAATTTTACAGATATTTCTAATTTTAGTAACCACAGCTACACCGTCCATCGAAATCAAAAACCGATATTCAGAATTATGTATCTTAGTGTAGTCTACTTGTGTGCCAAGTTATATTGAAATCAGACCAAAACTGTAGGAGGAGTAGCATTTTGAAAGAATTTCACAGAAATTTCTATTTTTAGTAACCACAGCAACACTGTTCATCGAAATCAAAAATCGATACACAGAATTATGTATCCAAGTGTATTCTACTTGTGTGCCAAGTTATAATGAAATCAGACCAAAACTGTAGGAGGAGTAGCATTTTGAAAGAATTTCACAAATTTCTATTTTTAGTAACCACGGCAACACCGTTCATCGAAATCAAAAACCGATACACAGAATTATGTATCTTAGTGTAGTCTACTTGTGTGCCAAGTTATACTGAAATCAGACCAAAACTGTAGGAGGAGTAGCATTTTGAAAGAATTTCACAGAAATTTCTATTTTTAGTAACCACGGCAACACCGTCCATCGAAATCAAAAACCGATACACAGAATTATGTATTTTAGTGTAGTCTACTTGTGTGCCAAGTAGACTACACTAAGATACAGTCTACTTGTGTGCCAAGTTATACTGAAATCAGACCAAAACTGTAGGAGGAGTGGCATTTTGAAAGAATTTCACAGAAATTTCTATTTTTAGTAACCACGGCAACACCGTTCATCGAAATCAAAAACCGATATACAGAATTATGTATCTAAGTGTATTCTACTTGTGTGCCAAGTTATACTGAAATCAGACCAAAACTGTAGGAGGAGTAGCATTTTGAAAGAATTTCACAGAAATTTCTATTTTTAGTAACCACGGCAACACCGTTCATCGAAATCAAAAACCGATATACAGAATTATGTATCTTAGTGTAGTCTACTTGTGTGCCAAGTTATACTGAAATCAGACCAAAACTGTAGGTGTAGTAGCATTTTGAAAGAATTTCACAGAAATTTCTATTTTTAGTAACCACGGCAACACCGTTCATCGAAATCAAAAACCAATACACAGAATTGTGTATCTTAGTGTGGTCTACTTGTGTGCCAAGTTATACTGAAATCAGACCAAAACTGTAGGAGGAGTAGAATTTTGAAAGAATTTCACAGAAATTTCTATTTTTAGTAACCATGGCAACACCGTTCATCGAAATCAAAAACCGATACACAGAATTATGTATCTTAGTGTAGTCTACTTGTGTGCCAAGTTATATTGAAATTAGACCAAAACTGTAGTAGAAGTAGCATTTTGAAAAATTGTTTACAGACAGACGGACAGACAGACAGACGGACGGACGCCGGACGCATTACTATTGCATAAGCTCTTTTGGTCTCTGACCAGTAGAGCTAAAAATGATCTAAAGTAACTCTGATACATTAGAGGGAACTTGCCAATTTTTAACAAACTTAATTTTATCAGGGTGTGTAGCAATCCCCTTTTCAGATACGACGTGTCTTAAATATTCTGCTTCTGTTGAAAATAGAGTGCATTTGCGAGGTTGAGCATTAGTCCCGCAGCTAGCAATCAATAAAACACTTGTGTAAGGTTTGAAATCATATCGCCTACCGTTTTCCCAACAACAATAATGTTGTCAAGATATACAAGGCATATCTGCCATTGCAGACCTCATAGCACAAGCTTCGTGAGACGCTCAAACATGGCTGGGGCGTTACAAAGCCCAAAGGGCATAACTTTAAAACTATAAAGCCCTTTTCTGGTTGCAATGCAGTCTTGATTCGATCTTTTCCTTCAACTTCCACTTGCCAACACCCGTGTAAATCTAACGTGGAATAATACTGATCTAGGGAGTCATCTATCTTAAGAAGAGGATTAGCACCTTTGACAGTTGCGTTGTTTAGCTTCCTGTATTCAACACAGAACCTAGTCGTTCCATCATTTTTCTTGACTAGGACAATTGGAGACGACTAGGAACTGGTGCACTCTTCTATGATTCCTCTTTTCAGCATGTCATCAACATGACGATCTTCCTCTTTCTGCATATGTATTGGTTATCGTCTCGGATGCTGCTTAATCGGAGTATTCGTACCAGTATCGATAGTATGTTTCGTCATCTTGGTTTGACCAAGGTCAGCATCAGTTGCAGCAAATAGACTCGAATACTTTCTTAACAGTCCTCTGACTGCCTTGATATCCTCTGTGGTCAAGTCCTGAAGTCACTGATCGCTGATACAAGTCTTGTAGATGAGTAGGCAGTTCTCCTACTCTTTTATTGTGACTGCTCTCTTCATACACACTGTCAACAGCTGACATGGTGGCAACAGAAGTCCCTTTATACAAACTCTTTGTCTCAGTAGATAAATTCATAAGTCTGACAGGAGTGACTTTGCTACCTCTAATCAATGTTCTGACTACTAAACCCCGATCTGATTCCATAAAACGATCTGACGGTTTAATAACACCAAAGTTTGGCACTTTCTCATACACAGGTGCAACAACATTACACATGGCAATAATTTCACTACATGGAGGGATAATGATATTAGCAGCTGAGGTTACCCTACAACAACTTATCTTCCCTTCGAATGACAATTTCACCCGTTTACTTCCAATCAGCAAAGAAGAATTTGGCAAATCAAGCGAGTAATTATTGGAGGTAAGAAAATCAAGCCCTAGTATTTCAGCAATACCAACATCAATTACTGTAATTTCTGATTGATTGTCAGGGTAGACAACAAGAAATTAATGCAACAGAACCTTCTACATTAATGGCAGTACCATGGTTGACTTTGTCAAGAACTGGCTTTGTATCACCCATCACAGAATACAATATTGATGGTGAAATGATGCTAACGGTTGCCTGAGTGTCGATTAGAAACATCACTTTACCACAGCTTATTTTAGCATCAAAAAATATACCGGCTTACCCTGTATTCCGATTTACACCAGTTCTACTTGCATCTTTGCCTGTCCCCTTTTCTTATTGTCTTGGAAAAGATCTGGGTTTTTTTTTCTCTTTTAACCTTAACTTCTTCTGCATATTTTGATAAGAGTAACAATCTTTCTTCAATGTGCCCTTCTTCTTGAAAAAGTTATTATGTTTGACGATGTACGCTTTGCAAATTTTGAGTTCTGTGCTGCCATCTTGATTTCTTTCATTTCTTCTTGCATGTCACGTACTACCTTCAACAGCGTAGTTACAGTGTCTTTGTCTGATTCCAATGGCTGGTTGGCCTTTCTCAAATGCCGTTTATCTTCCTGTATACTTCATTTCCTCTTGCATGTCATGTGTACTACCTTCAACAGCGTAGTTACGGTGTTTTTGTCAGTTTCCTCGTTTGGAAACAGCTAAGTACATGCCTTTCTCAGAGGTGTCCAACCATTCAATTCAGCACATACATCAAAATGAGATTTGAAGTCTAGCCATGAGATAGTGCCATCAAACTTATCTGGCTTTACATGAGTACACTTATGTTGATTAATGATTGCTCTTACCTCTTGTCTGCATGTTGTGATATTTGTAAACAGAGGGTCATCCTGTCTATTTCTAACATAAGGTGTACTTGTAAAGGAAAACCTATCTGGAGTCTTGTCATCCGACCTACCTAAAGCTGCGCTCAGGCTCTCTTCTCTCGTATGTATCATTTGGTAGGGTGGTCGTCTTAACTGATTTAGGTTTCGCACCCAGTGCCTCATAATATTCATCATCTAAGGTTGTCCGCCTGCTTTCAGGTAGACCTGAATCTTTGGTGGTCTTCCTTCTAATTTCATCGAAGCTAGCCTGAAGCTTACTTAATTAGCTCTCTTTAAATTTTAGAAGGGTCGTCCATACTAACAAATACGATTATAGGTAGCTACTAAAGTTAACAAAGTATAAAGAAAAATCATGCTAGTACCCCAAATCCCACCGCTGCCACCAAATTTTGGAACGTGTCGAGCTGAATGTTTATAGCAATCGGGGGTCGTACCTTGTCGATTCAAAGTTTTTGGGGATGATTTCCAATAACAATTTTTCTTAAGAAATGACTGACAAATGATTGATACAAAAGCCTGCAAAATATACAAATAAATGACCTAACCTTATCTATGTTAATAATCACAGTGAATCAAATAATTACAGATGATAGTGTAAATGGCAGTGGGTAGACCCTAATGCTGGCCAACCTCGGACTGACGCTTGTACTGCAGCCTTATTCGGGATTTAAGAATTTTGTCAAATCAACCAAGTACATGTACAACAGGCGCGGATCAAGAAATTTTTCAAAAAAAGGGGGGGGGGGTGAAGTATTTTCCAAAAGGAGGGTTGAAGGCGAACACAGTTAAAATGTACGTTGTACACATACATATAGTTAAAACTCAATGGAATATCGATACAGGGTGTAGTATGGTTTTTGAAAGTGGGACATTGATCAATCTGCGAAAAAGAACTTGTATACATTACCAGAAAGTTTTTGAAAAAGAAAGGAAAATAAATCTCCGAACCTGAAAATCCTATTTTGTAAAGGGATGGGGTTTTATTTTGTTTTTACAACCGAATTTCTTTATATATTACAACATTAGCCTTCCACCTTACCTTTTATAGTAAAAACACAATAAAAAAATTGAAACTTTCTTATTTCTCTTTCTTTTTTGCAAATCCAAAGGGGGGTTGCAACCCTCGTAACCCCCCCCCCTCTGGATCCGCCACTGTACATTCAATATTACTCTCAGAGGATATATTTTTTCACTTGTACGAGTATATCCTTGTGTTTTTTCTAGCTAACGTCGTCGTCGCAAACCGCCCCGGGTTTTGAGTCCACAAGTTTCCTCAAATGATGATAGAAAGAATTTACGTGAATCACCCGTGGGTTACCAATGATGAGCTACGCCATCAGAATTATATTTCATCCAGAGACTGCAAGGAGTATATGATATCGTTTATAATGTGTAGAAAGGGGAACAATTCAATATAGAAATCTTAACCGTGTGGTAATTAATTACTGTCAGATTTGGAAAATTCAGAGCCTGATTACTCTTTGAATATTTTGAAGTTTATTAAACCTACTAGGCTAGTGGGTCTTAAAATTACAAACTCTATCTCTAAAGTAAGGAAGATACAAAAGAGCTTGATATATAAATACAAGTTTATCAAAATAACAAGTATTCTAAATATACAGCACTGTATATTGTGACATGCATGTTTCTAATTTATTATGATCATTTGTATGTGCGTTCGACCATTGTTTTAAAAAAATATCAGTTTGACACTATTTTTTAAAAGAAATTGTAATATCCCAAATGAGTTAAAAACTCAACATGCTCAAGGGCTGTAAATTTATAAATAAATAAAATAAATGAAAGAAGGAATGAATGAATAAGAATAAAAAATGCACTAGCACATATTTATCATAGAGTTTTTTTATGAAGATATTCTAAATCATAATGCATGAATATATGAACTCCTAGAGCGAAAACAAATCTTGGTATAAAATGCTTTGAATTTGCCCGAATGATCCATGGTACGAGTTATGAATAAAACGAAATAAAAAGCGCCGTCTTGTGGCAAAGTTTCACACTAAAGATGAAATAAATCTTGATGAATATTATGTCACTCACTAGAACAATTCGGTATTGAAAAATGTGGAACAAATTCTTTTCTTATTATTTGTTTGGTAAGTTTTATTTCTGTTGTGATACTCTAGTCGAACGATACCCATCTCAATGAGTTCCGTTTGAATAAGACACAATTTATTATTGAGAAATCTTTTGTGATGGTCGCCATCTTGGTCACGGTGAAATGTGTTATTTTTTGACATGATCAAAGACGTCGTTTAAATTATACCTTATATGGAAATGTTGCTATAAAACTGCTGTCTCTTTGGAACACATTCCAGAGAAATACAGTAAGAGGGATTTTATTTCTGTCATTTTTACCAAACAAAGAAGTTTTTAAAAAATGACTAGTCATTCTACATGTTCTCAGAAATGAGATTTTGAACAGATTTTTTATCAAAAAAATGGTTGATCTATTTATTTCAGTCAAATTCACCATTCAATGAAGAAATGGGAAGGCTCACTTGATAACTGCATTTACAAGGGAGACAATTATATGATAGAGCAGTTCAATTAGAAGTGTATCCATAACCATAATGTCAGGAGGCGGTCGAGGTGCCAACCCCCACGGGCTAAAACAGATAGGCCTGGATCAGATCTGGGACGATTTGAAAGAAGGAATTAAAAATGTGTACAGCCGACAAAGCATGCCTAAAGTCAGATATATGGAACTGTATACGTATCCTTGTTATAAGCTAATGTGTTTTTTGATTTCTCAAATAAGAATACATTAAGAATATGCATTGTCAAAAAAGAAAAATCTTATGATGTGGAAATATACACTCCATATTTTATGTTTTTTTTCCTCTTTTTTCAAATTTTATAACATTATTTCATTTTCAACATGTTTAATGCCACCACATGTTCACATTATATAATTAAGCATTTTAAAATGTAATCATGGTAATTGAAGCTATTCTTGTGTATTGTTTGCATCATTTGTTAATCTAAAGGTGGTATATACTTTGAAAAGGCAGTTAAGCTTTCTCCCCTAAACTGACTTCTCCTTAACCCAATAAGCCATGTGTACAATTACTGTACAAGCGTTCACCAATCAAGTCCCAGTGGACAGAGACAGTCCCGCGTGCCGACCAATCGTCGCGGCCCAAACCAGCCAACAGGTGGCGCTCAGTTTGTCGGGTTAGAGCTCTACAAACGACTGAAAGAGTTCCTCAAGCAATATTTAGTCAATCTCCTCACAGTAAGTTCAAATACCCAAATTACCAAAAAAAAAAGTACACACAGTATATAATTTCAAACATTTTGAGATAAAGATTCCCAGAAGTTTCAGTTTTTAGAGCAGCTACGTCTATGATAGTGATTTAAATTTCTGTATGTGCTGCTGTTTTAGATGTCTGTGTTTACATAACTCTTTACTTTTTAAAAGTCTGTGGTTACCATACATGTTAACCTATTGTGATGAAAAAGAGGGAGATTCAGACCTCAAAAGCGGTAGCATTGCGCGCGTGTTGTTTAAAGCTTGGATTATCGATATCTTTCATGTAATATACATGTATATTATAAGCCTTAAATGAAATCAGGTACCTACACTAATTAATCTTAAATATCAACAGCAAAGAAGAAGACAGAAACACCTTAAGTTTAACATAAATTGTACAAATTCAAATATTTTTCATGCTCATCATTTTGCTTGGATTGGCTGCTTTACTTAGCCTTTTGAAGAGTGATCTTTGCTGAAATAGCCTAGAGGCAATAATTCTGAATGTTCATTCAGTTTTTAAACAAAACAAATGATGGCATGGTTTAATCTAGATCTAAAACAAGTTCGTATCTTTCGTTATATAAATCAGATTTCCCGCGATGATCGAAAACGAAAGTAGAGATGTGCCACATGGCTTGGTCAATCGAGTGATTTCTATTGACTTTATTGATAAAGTTGTGAGCTTCTGTGCTTTTGAAGACGATGTCAAATGTTTTCATCTAATTCTTAAAAGCTGTATCTCCTTTTTCATGGCAGGGATGTTGATTAATTTATCGTAACCAATGTAATCAATGGTAGTCTTATGTTGTTGTCGTTTTCAAATCCGTGCTTGAAATCTATGTACAAAAAAAGCGTTTGTATGATTCCGAGTCAAATCATGCGATATCTAGCAAGATTTTATGAGAGTGGCTTTAAAAATGGATACCCAAGCGAACCAAAAATACTTTAGACGCAGCTTTTGTAGAAAAGCGGTAGATTTCTGAATTAAATCGGAAGGCGGGAGATGGAGTGAAAAAGCGGTAGACTCCCGCCTAAATCGGGAGAGTTAACATGTATGGTGGTTACACAATTCTTAACATTTTATATGTCTATGTTTACGTAATTCTTTGCATCTTAGATGTCTGTGTTTATGCAATTCTTTACGTTTTATATGTCTGTGTTTACATAATTCTTTATGTTTTATATGTCCATATTTACGTAATTCTGATTTCGAGGTTCACTGTTACAGGATGGGCAGGATCTACTAGATGAGCAGGTTCTGTCGTTCTACACGAAGCAGTGGGAGGACTACCAGTTCTCTAGTCGCGTGCTGAACGGGGTCTGTGCGTACCTTAATCGACACTGGGTCAGGCGCGAGTGTGACGAGGGAACAAAGGGCATCTATGAAATTTATTCAGTAAGAATTGATGTCTCTGATCTATAAATATCAATGATGAAATCTTTATCATTCTGTAAAAATTTTGTCTCGGTCATTTATATTTATGATGAATCTTTATTGAAAAGCGTTTATTTACTATTATGTACTGTTTTCTTGTAAGTGGTACTTAATTTCCAATTCCATTATGTTTCAGTGAAATTATGTTTTTTGTTTGTTTTGTGTTCAAACTTATAAACAATGTGTTATGTAGAAAACATGTAAGATGATACTGAAAATTGACTGATGCATTTTAAGATAATCCTGATGATATAATATTTTTATGATTTGTCAAGTGATGATAATTTCACTGACAGTTTTGAGTTCACTGTTTTGTTGACACATGATATTTTTCTGATTGTAAGACTTTGCTGCTTTTGTAGTTGGCATTGATTACATGGCGAGAACATTTATTCCGGCCATTGAACAAGCAAGTGACAAATGCAGTCCTGAAGCTGATAGAGAAAGAGAGGAATGGGGAGACAATCAACACAAGGCTCGTCAGCGGCGTCATAAACTGTTATGGTAAGTTCAACGCTTTGTGGATTAATTATTTGCTATCAGAGTTCTTGTAATCTTTTTTTTGCTGTCATTTGGACTGACTGCCACGCAAAGTTTGTCAGCCCAGACAGATTTCTATCAGTCCAAAAAAATTCTGTAAAAAGATGAAAACTTTGTTTCATTTTATTATCAATACATTGTGCACCATGTTTCAAAAAAACACTGCACACTTCATGCTGTATTGATTGTCAATTTTCTTTGAATTATCTCGTGGGTCGATTTTTGTCATACGTTGTTAATCTAGTTTGATTTTCTCACCTGGATTACCATAGCACCATCAACAAACCTGTTTTATCAGTCTACCAATCATAGTTTGACTTTTGTGTTCATCGAAGAAGCCATTACAAGATTGCAGAAAAGAGTTTGAAAGATTAAGATCAGACGGTCAGAGCTCCAGATAATTTTTTACCCCAAAGTGTATTTACTCCCTGATTTTCAAATCAATGCAGATTTTGATTTTCAGCAAAGTGATTGAAGAGTATTTTGTTTATATATAAGTGTTTTGACCTTTATTTTGATTTTGAGCTTGTAATCGAAGTATGTGTTTTTGAAGACGGAAAAAACTTTAAAGGTCCGTTCCTGCATTTATTCAAATAAATTTTGCAAATACCAACAAAACTTTTTGCTAAGATTGGGAAGCATTCTTTTTTGACAAGGAAGATTATACAGTAGGTCAGGTACCATAGAGTCAGAGAACTTTTCCTTCATTTAAGATATCGTATCAAGAGTAAACTGAGAGAAAAGAAGTTTCGTTAAAATGGCAAGTTGAGAGAGATGAAAAATTGGCTATGAACCCATAGTAAAAAAACTTTTTAAAAGTTATGCCAAGTGCATTGTCTTTTTACGTAGAAATTGATTTTAATCTAAATCTCCGATGCTTCCTTCCGAAATAGAAATCATCGTCGTCATTACTAGAATATTCCAGGTCACTAAAAGGCTTTTAAGGTAGGACAAAACACCCATGTATTCTATTTTAGCCCATTTCTTAAAAAGTACTGGAGGAAAAAAGAATAATATTACTATATTGACAACAATGAATGATCCCTGAAAGAAAAATAATAAGTTTTGGCAAATTTGTGTTATATCTTGTGAAAAAATCAGAGAAACCTGTATATTGGTCACTTGGGAGCTAACATTTTTGTAATCTGTTTACGCTATCTAAGGGCAATGAACAATTTTAACCATGTAACAGTCTGTTATAAAATGCAGTGCAACTTTTGTTCCATAAATAATAGAGCGTTCATATTTGGACACATATATAAGGAGTCTCTATTCTTTATGTACTACAAAGGTCAAGGTCATATCAAGAGGTCAAAGGTCAAATATTGTGACGTCATCTACTGAATCTTTAAGTTTTTTTTGCCATTGAATTTTTTTTAATCGCCAAAATATCTGAAACCATCGGTTCAATTTCCTTAATTTAACACATTTTATTCTAAGACCCATTTGAATCATTCTGTTGATTTTTTGTAAAAATTGAATTGTACATTTTCTTTTAAGAAAGCTTAAACTGTCGGATATTTACATGGGAATTTTCAGTTTCTGACACATTGTATGTTCTATTTTACTTAATATTTTACCCAAATTTTCCAATATCAATGTGACTTACTGATTTAAAGTAACAAAAAGGTTATCTTTATGAAAAGTATCACACAAATTTGCAATAGATTAATAGAAAATTCTAAAATAAGGTTCATTCTCAAGTCGAATGTCTGATTTCACAATCTTCTTACAGGCCATATTTCAGACTATGTGGGCAAAAAATGTGCAGTTGAATTTCTTCCATATTATGTATAAAGAGAGATTTTGTTTCCAAGAACAAAATATCAAAGTTTCAGAAAAATTGAATTTGAGGAAAAAATTGAACTATCTATTTGGTCCTACCTTAAATCTGTACTTCGTTTTAAGAAATATCAGACACTGAGTTAACCTCAATTCGTATCATAAAGTAAGTCGTACCTGTATTCTTCAACTTGTTGTACACAGTACTTTTCAATTTTCAATGCGTATTTTGTAAAATTTAATGCGTATTTCTGCAAATACGCACCTTATCTGGAGCTCTGGGACGGTTATAGGGAATTGGTACGAAATTAAGTCATATTTTCACAAGTTCCACTGTCAACATTTTAATACCAGTCATTTGGACTGACACAAAACACAAAATAATCGGTCCAATTTTTATCGGTCTTGCCGACAGGACCTAAATAGAATCACAAACCTGAACTTTTCGCACCATTGTCTTTCACTGAACTTTTAGATATACTAGAGTTTGACTTGTCATTTTCGATGGTCTTGAGATGCTTCTCGTAATCTGTGAAGATTGGTGTCAGGATGCAGAGGTTTTTTCTCCACGTGCTGCTTTATCCGGGCGAGGCGCTCTCGTTAGACTTCTAGATTAGACATGTATTTACTGTTGTCCTCCTTCTCATTTTATCCTTTTTCTCCTCTGGTTTTTCTGGGATTCCGTTCAGCTTTGTAGCATTGTCCTCCATAGGCTTTTCTGTTTTCCATTAGTGAAAGACTTGACATTCATGTTAAATGGTGTACTCGTCTGTGTAGGCTTGAAGGCAAACCCACCAAAACCAAAAAATCCGAGCTTCCACCAGTACCACCCTTGAATAGAAAAGCAAAGATACATTATATACACTATGCTCATCATTTGTTATTTAAGAAATAAAATATATTTTTAGAGTTTCTTTGGGGATATACATGAAGTTGGTCACATGATCAAATTCTATAATGCTATCAACTTCAATGAAATTCTAAAAAAAAAAGGGTGTTAAAGAATACAAAAGTTTTAAGATTATCCCTTGGTGTGCTTTTTTGTTAAGAAGGGGGGTTTTTTCCGCATTTGATAGGTAAACAGTTCATTGCATCATCGACAAACTATCATAACTGATTCAGATTGTTGTGATGCACTCTTCAACTAAAATTACATAATTTATGTAGAGACATCAGTTTTTCTTTTACCAAAATATAAACACAAGAAAATAGTGGGTGTAAGATGTTTCAGTTGAGAGGGGAAATATGGATCTTTAATAAATACACATGCATCTGATTAATGGAAAGCCAGCATTTTGATTAACACAAATTCTTTCCCTTATTATTACTTAAAGACCCCCCCCCCCCAACTTTTTAAAAAAAGGTTTGTACAATAAAAAAATTCATTTATTTTAACAAAGACCATACTTTTCTTTTTTTTCAAGTATCCGTACATAAAATAGATTTTGTAAATATGCATACTTGAGTTTAATAAAATCATCAAAAGCATCACTGGTTAGCATTATCTTCTTTCTATAACCATGATAACAAATAAATTTTATAAGCCAAAGCCATTGTTCATTTTAAATATATGCACGTTTGTCTACATTAACAACATGTACAACTTCCATGTTGCTATTCATACTTTTTGTGCCTCTATATAAGAGAATTAAATTGAAACTTGCATATAAGAACATCTCTAAATTTTAATCTGAATTTAATTTTTCCTGTAACAGGAAAGGAGAAAATGTATGGCTGGAATGGGAATCGAACCCGGGACCCCTGCATCTCTAGTCAGGTGCTCTACCAACTGAGCTATCCAGGCCGATATCAACGGCCCAAACCATTACAATCTCATTAAATGCTGGATAATGGTTCTGATTTACCTCATGTAGAATTATTTCATGTATATTTGTTCTGATGACGACCGTCTCTGGTCGAAACCGGTCAACTAAATAAATTTCTGTTTCTCACAAAGTGTTGTGATCTTTTTTATATCTTCTAGCTTGATTTAGAATAAAGAAATTTCAAGCCATCTAGAGCCACCTGTATATATTTTTCAAAACAAAAATTACCACAGATCCTCTACTCCTTTTAGCTGTCTTTATCTGTCTTTTTTCTAGTTCTGCTTTAGATGCCACAGAAAATGTTCCAGCCTGTAAGATAGAAACACATTATTGTTTATTTAATATAATATTGACCTCATATTTGTACACTGTAGGATGGAAATTCCTCATTTTACAGAAAGTAGAGAACTGTTACATTTAACAAAAACGGTTTGAAAAGAGAGATTGTGGTAAGGGACATCGAATGGGAATCTTTTAATTAAAATGATATTCCAAAACCAAACAGGACTATTTCGGACCATTGAAAGGTAAATGAAGTATAAGCATAAGAGTAAAATATATGGTTAATTATCCGATGCCATTTTTAAACCTGGGGAAGGCAAAAAATAAAAGAAAAAAACTGAAGTAGCGACAAAAAATTCTGCAGCATAAATCAAAGGTTTTTAAATGTTTGGACCTTTAGGTCTCTGCTTTATCTGTCCAAATTTTCTCAAGCAGAGAACTACAGTTCTTCAGCTAGCTACGAGTTAGATATAAATTTGACAGGTTGGGCACAGCCTACCAAATGGTACTTAATCCCCCGTTTGGTAGATAATCTACCATATCGGTAACAATTTTACTAACCAAATGGGGGACAAAATTGGTTGTGTTTAATTCCATGGACTGGAGTGGAATTTCGCATAATTTTAAACCATGTGGAATAAGATATAGATATTTATCGGTGGTCTGGGTGAAAAAAATAAAAAATTCTATGTGCAATTTTTTCGCACAGTCGTTCAAAAATTTGACAAAAAACGTAGCTTATGTAAACAAGTGCAATGTTTCTCCGTTTTTTACTTTAAAAAAAAATTTTTCCCCTTCCCAACGATGCTGCACCTGTCACTCATGTCTTTTACTTTCTTTTTCCATTATCCGGGCAACCAATCAATTAGTAAACCAATCAAAACGATGATCTTTTTTAAGCCTAATGAAAAGTCGGATGTAACTAGGGAAAACCCCTTTTGTGTAATTTTCAACTAGGAAATCGGAAGAAAGATAAGTTTTGCCTTATTTCTTTTTATTTTGAAAACAATGGCTTTGTTCTTCATAGAAATAGTAAATGTAGTTGGAATTTGACATAATTATTGTTTTAAAACGATGTACTTGGAACAATAACAAGAATAATGGCAAACGTCATTTTGTACATTTTTTATTGAATATTA